ACGGTACTTTACGACGCGATAGACATCATCCTGATCAACCAACGGCGAACGGGCACATATCCACATATGGCGTTAGTCATAGAAAACAATCGAATATTGGTTTAGTTTACCCTAACATACAGGTACATTGCCTCGATGTAAATCCCTGTCTTAGAGGCGTATCTTTGCAATCGAAAGGAGGAGATTTATTCGCTATTATGGCCACTTCACAACGAGAAGGTACTGCTCTAACAGAATGTTTGACTGGCTTAAACGAACGTATGTCTGGTGAAATACTTATTAACGGTCAACAGATTAGTCGTAGAGATTTAAGGGAATTATGCAGTTATGTGCCCGCGCTAAATTCTTCCTCATTGGATCCCAGAATGAGTGTACAGTGTACCTTGAATTTTCACGCTGCCTTAAGAGGCCCACTAGATCGCAGCGATCTTAGAGAAAGAGTAAATTTCTTGCAAAAGTTGGAAAAAAAAAACTTCCATTTGAACATCTTTCTCTTCTTCCTTTTTTTAGATGGATATACTAATAGAAGATTTGGGCTTAACCACTGTACGCGCTTCAAATGTTTCTTCTCTAACGCATTCGGAAAAGCAACGTCTTAATGTTGCTTGTCAGCTATTGTCTCAATCGTCCATACTGATCTTAGATCAAGTAACCAGTAATATGGATATTTTTGATACATTTTTTTTGGTGGAATATCTACGTCAATGGTGCAGTGGCGGTCGTATAGTGATTATGACTTTACAGCCTCCCACATTTGAAATATTGTCAATGTGTTCTGGAGTTTTGCTACTATCCGGCGGTCGTACTGTATTTTCTGGCAGTCGTTCCGATCTACCGCGACACATGGGAGAATTGGGCTATCCCTGCCCGCCCTTTAAAAATCCCGCTGATTATTATTGTAAGTGAAAGGTTATAAAGTCGTCGTGAATTTCTCATATTATTTTAAAAAATTGTATTCCTAGTGGATTTGGTAACACTGGATGATTTATCAGCGGCTGCCATGTTAGAGTCGTCGGCACGGATTGAATTTTTAGCTAACTCGTGGGATCAAATCAATTCTGAGCCGCCTTTGGCTGCTCCACCCGCTGCATTACCGAACTTTATACGAAAGGCTGGCTTTTTTGGTCAACTGAAGGCGCTTGTTAAACGTTTTATGGGTTATAAACAGCCCGGTTCTCTATTAACGTGGATTAGTAAGCTGATAGCAGCAGCTGTTCTTTCCCTATGTATTGGGTGCATATTCTGGGATGTACCCGCCTCCGATCCTCAATTAAATTTCAATGATCGTTTGGGTTATCATCACTGTGTAATGGCTTTAACGTATTGGCCTTTAATAATGTTAACCATACGTGACACTCAAGAGGATCGACGGCATGCCGAAAGAGATATACGTTTGGGTCTCTATAGCCGAGCTCTATATATTATAATTCAGGTGAGATATTGATATTAGATCAAAAAAACAAAAACAACAAAAAAAATCGGAAAATCAATAAAATTAAACTAAACATGTTTTCAGTCTTTGTTGGGTTTATTTCCCAGCCTTTGTATATGGTTGTCTTACCTGTTACCCGCCCACAGTATGGCCGGTTTGTATTCGTACACTAATGACATTAGCATATATCTGTATATAGGTAAAAAAAAAAAATTCCATTTACAATCAAGAAAATTTCAAAAAAAAAACATTATTATTAACTCTATCTATAGGTTACATGCTTTTATATCTAACGGTTATACAAACGTTGGCTTTATTCTGCGCCCATTTAATGCCTTGTAAAACATCGTCATCGATTTTTAACATTTTAATAATGTTGGGCTTAACGGCTGTAGGTGGTTATACAGTGCATCCACAAAATCTTTCAAAGATATGGTCTTGGTCTCAGCTGATATCACCCGAAAAATGGTTGCTACCCGTTTTAGTACAAGATGAATACAATGCGGAAACTTTAGCCAACTCAGCTGGTTTGCAATTATGTCGTAATAAACAGGTGAATTTATAATTTTGCCAGAGATTTTCTCTGATAAAAAAAAACCATTTAAAATATTTGCTTTTTTAATAACTAATACTCAGGTGCAACATCAAGAGATTATAGTTCAACAACCTTGTCCACCGCCCAATGGTACTCAAGTGCTAGTCGACTATCAACTATTGCCACAAAATCATATACTCGATCCTACGGACGCGTATAACGAGACCACAACTATTGCCTTACTTTCGGCTTCGGTTATTTTATTCGCTGCTACCTTTGTAATATTCGTATGTAATTGTCGCACTGTCTTTGGTAAGAAACCGAAAAAGGTCTTTAAAGATTAAAAGTTGAAAAGTTTCTCTATGACAAAGTTAGCCCCCTTTTCTCTAGATTTAAAAAAACAAAATATAATGCTGCAATATTTAACATATCATACTAAATATAATAGGCTTTTAATTTTTCGTTAATTTTTTTTTTTTTTTTTTTTTTTTTTTGCATTTTATATAAATAAAAAACAAATTTTTTTTTTTTAGAAATTAAGCGAAATATTTTTTAAATATCTGCTGTTAGGTTTAGGAGAAAAAAATTTGCACATTTTATTAATGCATTTATTATAATTATTTTTATTTTGTCTTTTTTAATTAAAATTTAAGTTTAATTAATATGGAATTTTATTGTTGCAATTATTTTACACACAATCATTTTATATTTTATTAAATGATATTTAATACGAATTTTATTTTTTAAGTTATAAATAAATATTCCCCAAGAAATGGTCATAAAATATTTTTTACTAATTATTTAGATTATTTAGCTATATTCGAAATAAAATATTATTTAAAACTGATCTTAAGCTTTTTCATTAAAAAAAAATAAATCAATAAAAATGAACGAATATTCTGGCATTAAGGAGGGAAAAACTGAATGGTTTTTATAACCCCAGACTCCATTTCTTTTCTACTTAGTTCTTCTATGACGATAGAAGAAGAATAAGTTGTGAAAAACAAGAACTTCTCAAGAAGAACTTCTAGAATCTTAGCTCTTAGGTTCTTAGAGGAGAGAAAATTTACCGGAATCCCAATGTGCGCCATGGCAATGGGGGGACAAAGTCCAATCGCTTATTCCCTACTACACTCTTTCATCGATATTATGCAATAGGATGAAAATAAATAAGAGAAGAGAGATAATTGCTTTGGGAAGAATTTTATAAAAAAATAACCTATTGTGTTAAAGGCGAATCAGCTTGGTGATCTTGGGAATCTACTGTGTTAAAGGTGAATCAGTTTGCTGATCTTGGGAATTTTTATATTTAATTTTTGGACAGCTCTACTGAACATTTACAAAATTGACAATATTTCAAATCGATATTAGAGTTTCAGAAGTTATTACACTTTAGACAAACCGATATGATTTAAAAAATTGACGTTCAGCTACCAACTACAAAACTATGCAAATTTGAAACAAATGAAAGGCACAGTTCTGAACTAATCTTTTAAAAGAGGACCGTCGAAACATTCGCTTCGCCTATCAATTTGAATTTTAGCAAAAGCTAGTCCGACCGGGTATAGAAAATCAAACTCCTTTATAACTATCAGGATAGAAGTTGTCAAGAATAGCAGACTTTACGTAAGACCTTGACTTACGCATTAATGTTAGGAATATCAGGAAATTCATTAAAAATCTGTTTAAGTGAGAAAACCGTTTGTCTCATTATCTTCAGCAATACTCCGCGCACGTCTCTGTTCATCTGTTATCTTTATATTGTTACTGTTGTGATCCACGCTGCCAGTTCAATTCAATCCAAAGTAATCCGCCATTTGAACTGCAAGCCACTATAATACTTATATTAATTTTTAAATCAATTAACTTAATCCATGTTTACCACGCAGACTATGATTAAGCGAAAATTCGTTTACTTTCTTTTTTTTGCAAGACTACTGTAGACTGTAGCGCTATACATTGACTATAAATTAGTTTATAATTAAGAAGATAACTTAAGAGAAATGTCATCAATAAACGATTCCCACGATATATTTCTTAATATATAATTGTCGAATGTGTAATAAAAAAGTTGAACAATCTTTCAAGCACAAGAGAACTTAAAACGTGAAAAAAATTTAATTACAACTGAACTCAGATGCGATAGCTTAAAAGAGATGAAAAAAAAATTTTTTTTAAAAATTTAAAAAAAAAACAAGAATTTCCAGTTTGAAGCACATATCCGTTTTTTCATTGACTTCCCATGATATATTATGCAAAGACTGTAAACGATAGTTTTAAAAAAAAGACTTTATTAAAATTCATTTAAATGCAATAATTTTGATCGTTGAAAAATGCGCTTAAACTATCTATACCATGTTTTTTTTAATGATGGAATAAACGTAAATTAGTATGAGCCATAATAATTCCGTGTTCATCGCAAGCAGCTATAACCCCAGCGTCATTGGTCGATCCAGCTGGGCTGCCAATAAAAGACACTCCACTCTGCGGTTCGCAAAAAAGAAAAACAATATAAGCAACAGTTCGTTCAAGTATAATAGTTTTTGAAAATAACCTACCAAGCGAGCACGATCGATATTGTCGCGGAAGGGAAAGAACGCATCCGAACCTAAAGCAACACCGTTCAGTTGCTTCAACCACGCTACCTTCTCAGCCATAGTGAACTGAGCTGGCACTTCGTCAAACATCGCTTCGAATTGACTAAAAGGCATATCTTTGCCAACGGTACCGTTAACAAAATTATCGATACCATTTGAGATTTCGGCGCGCTTAACACCGGCCTTAAATTTCATTCCGGCCACGCGGGGATGTTGTCTCAACCACCAATTATCCGCCTTCTCGCCAGCCAACCGCGTGCAATGGATACGTGATTGTTGACCGGCACCGATACCAATTACTTGGCCATCGCGAGCGTAACAAACCGAATTACTTTGCGTGTATTTCAAAGCGATAGTGGCCACAATTAGATCGCGTACCGCAGACTCGGGTAATTTTTTATTTTTTGTTACCACATTCGAGAAAAGTGCGGCGTCAATTACAGCATCATTATGTTTTTGTTCTAAAGTCAAACCGAAAATCGTTTTACGCTCTAAAGCGGACGGTTCATAATTCGGATCCATTTGCAAAATGCAATATCCACCGTTTTTCTTTTTCTTAAGGATTTCTAAAGCATCTGGCGAATAGCCAGGTGCTATAATGCCATCGGAAACCTCACGAGAAATAATTTTTGCTGTAACTACGTCACATACGTCCGACAAGGCAACAAAATCGCCAAATGAAGACATGCGATCAGCACCGCGGGCTCTAGCATAAGCAGTAGCGATCGGTGTTAAGCTGCTATATAAATCATCAACCATGCACAGTTTGGCTTGTTCTTTGCTTAGTGGTGTAGCGACAGCAGCACCGGCTGGTGAAACGTGTTTAAAACTAGTAGCGGCAGGTAGACCTAAAGCTTTCTTTAATTCCTTAACCAATTGCCAACCGTTTAACGCATCGCAGAGATTAATAAAACCTGGAGCAGCATTGACAACAGTCAATGGCAATTTCTCCAATTGGGTAAAGATTTGTGCAGGCTTTTGATGAGGATTCATACCATAACGTAAATTAATTTGTGATATACCTCCCGAGTACTGTTTACGGAAATAATCCGAAATGGCGTCATCGTAAGAAGCAGTGTGAGTGAAAGCCTTCAATGCTAAAATTTTACGAGTCTCTAAAGTCGTATCACCATGCTGTTTAATTTCGGTTAAAACCTTCGTATAATCATTAGCTTCACAAACAACAGTAACACGATCGTGATTCTTAGCAGCGGCCCTTAACAGAGTAACACCGCCAATATCGATATTTTCTACAGCAGCAGCCACGGTTACATCTGGCTTAGAAACGGTATTAACAAACGGATAGAGATTGCATACGACTACACTTATATAATCAAAATTTTGTTTTTTCATATCAGCAACATCACTGGGGGTAGTGCGAGCCAATATTCCACCATGAACGGCCGGATGCAAAGTCTTTACACGACCGCCCAACATTTCAGGAGCTCCCGTAATATCAGCGACATCTTTAACGTTAAGGCCGGCATTACGCAAGGCAGTAGCTGTACCGCCACTAGCCACTAACTGAAATCCTAAAGCGGCTAAACTTTTACCCAAATCTATTAAACCGGTCTTATCCGAAACACTGAGAAGGGCTAAAGGAATGCACTAATTAAAAAAAAAAAATGTCTTTTTTTTATGCTTTTTACACTCAACTCACCAATTCGCTTACTAGCCATTATTATTTATATATATTTAGAATAATTGTTTTAAATTTGCAAACAAAGAGTATTGTGTTCAGTTTAATCACTTAACTGCAAATAAATGAATTTCTTTTCAAAAGCTCATAATATTCCCTGTGAATTACATTTCACAAGTCCTATTCGATGAAATTATTAATCACATATCAGTTTTGTGTTTAACCTTTTTTGACCTATTAATTATTTATAAGATGATAACTGTCTATCTGCTGCTATACACAATGATTTCTTTTCCATTAATCTTTACTTGGCTTATGTTATTTATTACAAAATTTATTTGCTTTAGATTTCATATGAATCTGCCTATATATCACCTCACCTTCCCGTACTTTACTGATTATCAGCAAAATTTGTTATAATTAGTAACATGTTTAAATTTTTCGTATCAATTAAGAATTTATTGATCACCAGTCAGACAACACAGTAATAGAAAAAGTTCAATGAAACCTTTAAAGATGTTGTTAATGTTTAGGTAAGAAGATGATATGAAAATTATTTCTATAAAAAGTTCTAAGGAAAATTTTGTAATGCATAAATGATAAGATCGACATTGTTATATGTACAAAAAATGACTTTGTTATTTGGTATGCGTACACGTCTATACAATTTTCAGACCTACACCATGTTATGCCCCCCGCATAAGCCCCTCTATGTGTATAAGATTAACATAAGACGAAACAAATCTAATAAGGCTGAATTAACAAATTCGTCTTCGTCTGCTAAACGTTCTTAAAAAAAAAAAAAAAGGCTGGGAAGGAAAGTGCTCGGTTTGGCCTAAATACTTTTATAATATGTGTGGGAATAATAACATGTACATTTTTAAAATTAACCTTCAAAGTTTCGTAGTTAACAGCACCAAAACTTATCCCGTTCCAACTCTGCAGCTAATCAAACATGTACATATTAAATAACTACTTTATATATATATAGATGTTGCAAATAAAATGATAACATTAATATGTCTACATGCTTCAGTGTTATTAGAGAAATTATGTAAAAAAAAAATGATATATGAATTTAGGAAAAACAATTTATAATCAATGAAAGAATTATTTAATAAATTTTGCCTTACCCAGTGATAAAAAGCGATATTCTGTGATTTAATGCATCATCTACGAAATGTATATAAGCATAAATGACATTGTGTTCTCTAGATAACTGATCAATGAAAATGTTAAGCGTTCTTTTATATATGCGCATGAATTTTAAGTACATATGTAGGCAAAATCTCATGCACGTGCATGCATATGAAAACGAATATCAAAAAAATGAAAATGATGAAATACTATAGTAAGGCCGAAATAACATGTTAAAGCATGTCAATTTACGCACAAATGAATTGAAAAATATTTCACAATAAATTAAATCCGCAATTTCTTTCGCTAATTTTATTGAACTTTTAAAAATTACACTTCGAAATTAATCAAAATTGGGTATTTGTACTTCAATTTTCAATTACCGGCTAATTACAGATGATCTTTTTTTACAATCCACTTAACAATTCGTTTTTATTACGCGAACACTAAAACACGACATGACACACGACTAGCTAAAGCCTTTCTGATGTTAAAACTAAGCTATCATTAAGCTAGTCGCAAATTACAAACAGAGTTGTAAAAAAACGTACTATGGTACGTATGGTTACATATGTGTAAAAGTTAAAAAGTATCAAGTTTTTCCAACCTATTACTTGCTGAAAATGAGCGTAAAACATCTCAAAAATTGTATTAAAAAAATGACTATTTTTTCTGAAGATTGCTATGAATCACGTAAATAAACTAAACGCATATTTATTTCGGTATTCACATGTCAGTCAAAAATAAATAACAAAGAAATTTTTTCAGGCGCAATCATTCATTTATTTATGGTTAAAAACGTTTGTTTACTCGCTTTTATTCGATGTTAGAGATTGACATCACTGAATAATGATGTTCGCTGATATTAATGGTGATGTGGTTAAAGCAAATTTGTATTGGGTTTTGCAAATATATTTTATTTAAATTGCATTAATATTGTTTAAATTATAAGAAGTGGGAAGAAAAATTATTTTCATAATATGAACTACAATCCAAATGCTGGTGTAAGGAATCGTAAGTGGAAAAAAGTGAAGGAAACCAATATAATAAATCACAAACATTGTTTTGCTAATTGTGCCGGACAAAATCCCTATCATTGCAATCATAAGATCCCGTCAACGTTTTATTGAGCTTTGTCTAGTTGAATGTATTTATCACGTTGCTTTGGAATAAATATTGCCCACATGAAGTAACGATACTTTTATTCACATTGTTAATATTTTCATTTGTGATTAAGCTTGCTAGCTTTCTAAACAGAAAACTGAAAGAAGGAGGGTTTTAATAATGTTTCATTTAATTTTAGTTCCTGGGTCAGGGCGTAAATTGAAGCGGGTAAGTGATGTTAATGCTGTTGGCCCGACAGCTCCCTCGCCTGAAGCCACGCCTTATTTGCAATCAACGACAGGTCCCACTATTTTGGATCCCAGTGTATCAGTTTATACCGCCGCAGAAGCAAATATAACAGGGAATTTTAATAACGGTATGCATATGCCCAATCCGAACTATAATTACGCTGCGGCATCAGCGACACTGCCGCCTCAAATGCCACAATATCCAGCTACGAGTCCAGGAGGCTTCCCAGAGGAATCACAATTCACTCCAATATCCGGATTGCAAGGGATAAGCGGTCAATTTCCGCAGTTAAGCATGCTGCAAGAGCCGGTCGTACAAGATATGGCTATGCAATATGGACAGCGTTTGGCCGACCAGGGCAAACAGCTGGTCGAAAATCAGTTTAGCAAATGGGTACCTGTGGCCAAATTAAAGTATTACTTTGCTGTCGACAATAATTATGTCATACATAAATTAAGTTTACTCTTCTTTCCATTTACCCACAAGGTATGTACAATAGTACTCATAGTCTATTTAAGATTTTAACTGTATAATTTTGTAACCGCAGGACTGGTCGCTAAAATATGATCAAGAAAATCCGGTACAACCCAGGTACGATATAAATGCACCCGATTTATATATACCCACAATGGCATTTATAACGTACGTCGTCGTGGCTGGTCTTATGTTGGGTCTACAAAACCGTTTCTCCCCTGAAAAATTAAGTATACAAGCTTCCAGTGCTTTGGCTTATTGTATATTCGAATTAGTGGTTTACTGCATTACTTTATATGTCGTGAATATTAAAACAAGTCTAAAAACTTTAGATTTATTAGCTTTTGCCGGATACAAATTTGTAACTATAGTGGCCTGCCTGTTAACAAGCACAATACTTCACGGTCTTGGGTATTATATCGCTCTCACTTATTGCAGTTTAACATTAGGATTCTTTTTGGTAAGCAAATGCTTTCCCACAATAATCAGAGAAAACATAAAAAACGTTTGATGTTTATTTCAGTTACGCACATTAAAAACAAAAGTACTACATGAATCTGCACCCACAAATCCCACAGGGGCCATCAATTATGATCCTTATGGTAATCCTCAACAATTGGACTATACCGGAGGACGTAAACGGAAATTATATTTTTTATTTTTAGTCGTGGGGGGTCAAGCATTTCTATCATTTTTGCTCTCAAAACATTTGTATTTTTCGGAAACGGACACTTTCGAAATTAAAAATGTACCATTCTGAATTTGTTAATTACGGATTAAATTATCCTTCTTTTTACATCATACGCATCATACGTTTAACATCTTACGAATGTATATAAATTCTGATTCATAATATTTTCAAAAATGAATTTTGCTTATTCTATGCTACAATGAACAATAATTGAATTTACTTTGTAATAATTTGTTCTGATCTTTAATTATATTCTTTGGCTTTTTATTTTTATTTGTTGCTATTCTGGATAACGGCATGGTTATATTTTAATTGCATTATTAAATATGATTCCATATTATAACTTCTGTTGCTTTTTTTAACTTATAATCAAAATAAAACAAGTTCATATATATAGTGATAAAAATGCTACTTACTCCTATTAATAGCTATTGATTTTTTAAATAAAGTTGTAATAAAAATTTAATAGAATTTCTCATGTGACTACGATGACATTAATGAAGTTTGATAGGATTGAGGTTTACATTCGATTAGATAAACAAATTAAAGACACCCATTAGAGGGCAAACTCGGTATTGGGATCGAAATTGAACAGGTGTTAAACTGAGCACTGATTATGTATTTTTTAGTTAACAAGCTCTCATTTGCAAGTCGTGCCTTGAAAGCCATTTGGTATGAATTTCGTTATTCAAAATTTGTTCCGATAAAAACTAGAAAAATTCGACGCTTGTTTGTTTACAATAATACAATTAATAACAAAGTCATAAAATTTCATATGACATACTTTCATATGTTCATATATTTATAAAATCATTGAAAATTTTGAAATATATAAAACCATTTACTTACACATCTTCCGGTAACGTAAGAGAATGGAAAGCGTCCCGCAGAGCCCGTCTACATCTCATAAGATCTCCTCTGCGCTTGTCTTGATGTTCTTCTAATGCCAAATAACTTAATATAAGGAACTATTCCATATAATATATATATTTTCCTCAACGTAATTGATTATTTAACAACAATGGATTAGTCCTATTGACCTAAGACCTATAATCAGTAAAACAATGATCTTTTATTATTTGCTGTTTTTTTGCATTTTTTCAATGATAACGATAGTATATGATGACGTAGGAAAGATTAATAATACAAAATGGATCATAAGAATTGGTAAATTAAGAATACTAATTAAACAATTAGAGTAAAGAGCAAAAAAAAAAAAAATGAATTAATTTACTTATCTTTCAAAATTTGAAAACTTTTTGTTTTGCTTAAGCTGTAAGTTGTAAGTAAATAATTTGGTTTATTTTATTTTCAATTTGTAGCGGTTCTCTCTTACAAGTGCAACTCTAAACAACAAATCCAAACTGAAAACAACAAATCACAATGCGAAGCGTCAGCTGTTTTACTTATGTCCAGTTTTCAGAGAACGTTTCTCGCACCTCTTGTGCATACAAGAAGCAAAAAAAGTCGAAACCCGTTTATCAAGCTTAGTTAATCATACGTCAGGGTCCAAGTTGTGAAATTTGAGCACTTGAGTTTTTATCTTGCATGCTTAAATGTAGATTTTCCTATCGATCTTTTAGGAACTTGTTTCTTTTGCGGTCTAATGTACTAGACACAATGCATACCGTTCGTTTATGCTAAAGTAAAAATAATGAAAAAAATCACGTATCTGAAAGCCAGCTTACGGTTTCGTCTTTCGGCTGGTTTGGGACCACGTAGATGATAGCATTCAACATTGTTTGATAATTATCAATGTGAAAGCAAACGAGTTTACGCTTTGCATTAGTATTTGTTGTTTAGGGTTGCATTTATAAGAGAAAACAATTGTAAATTGAAAACGAAATAAATTTCAAACAAAATTATTTACTTACAAGCAGCTGATTCGAAACAAAAAATTAAAAAGAAAAAAAAACCAATTAACAAACAAAATCAAAATAAAACGAAAAATTATTGACAAAAAAAAAAACTTTGAATTAGTCACATAAACAAAAATTGGAAAGAAGTAAAACCTTCTTCCGGTAAGATTTTGCAGAGTTTTTTTCAGTGGCCCCATTTCTTATTGGCTTAGTCCATTTAATTTTAACCCCCCAAAAAAAAAAATTGATTTTGAATTAAATATTATTAAATACTCCCAATATATGAAATCGAAAGTTTTTAAGCCGACGATCATGTGATTTAAATGCACAGATGGCGACGATTAAATTGCAAATATTGTTTTCTATAAACAATTTTTCTCAACCATTTGAATTGATGACAACTTTAACTTTTAGAATAATGACATCATTGTAACAAATTTTTATTGATAATAAAACTAAATTTACTTTTCTTTACATGATAAACACTTTATTAATAATTTATATTTTAGTTTAGTCTCTTCTGCTAATATATGTGCAGTGACATATTCTGGACAATATTTATGTTTGCTTTCTTCTACAGTTTTTTTAGTCTTATCTGGCATTTACATTCTATTTAAATCACTTACATATATAGATAGGCGCAGTTATTTTTTGAGATATTGATTGAATTTATGTGATTCAGGATTTGACGATTATTAACATTCTTTAAAGAAAAAATATTTCTCTTGCTTCCTTGAAAAATATATGAGACGATGTACGTTTAGGTAAGGTCGTGGGGTTATGGCTTTTTTTTTTTGTTGTTCTTATTATTGTAACAAAAGAACAAATCTCCTAAGTCAATTTTATATGCTTTTATTGTACATGTCACCGAAAGAATTCCCAGAAATGTACGCTTCAAAAAATTGAGGGGGTATGTGTTTTCCATCAACATTGTAATAGAAGCTAAAACAACTTGGGAGAAATTGGAAAAGTTTACTACGATTTTATGACAGATGTGGATTTCAGCTTCAACGTAAACGTTCAGTAAGGCCACTTATTAAAAGGGGGAGAGACAGAGAGAGAGAGAGAGAGAGAGAGAGAGAAAAATGAAAACATCGATCGGCCTATCGATTGACACGCCCAAAAATCTGTCTAAGGTGGTAGATAGTTATGGTTCACCTTAAGGCGAATAAAAGTTTCTTACTTGTTTTTAATATGCTTTTTTTAATTTGCTTTAGATTTTATTATAAATTTACATTAAATGTAACAGTTATTGTAATTTCAGAAATTACATAATATATAAATCCATATGAAATTTGTTTTTTTTGTTTTTCTTTTTTTTTTTTTGTTATTATATAATTTTAATTTCGTCTTATTTATTTAAATATTATTACTAATTTCTTTTTTTTAAAACCTAATTGGGTTAATAAATAAAAGCAAACAAATAAGAAAAAAAGAAAAAAAAGAAAAAGAACAAAATAATAAAAATATAATTTCAATATATTTTATAAAGTAAAGATTGTTATTTTTATATTGTTGGTCTTATGAATTCTACTTTAGATACGGCCATAATATCTTCAGCTTAAAACTAATTAAAAGCAGAAAATAAACAAATTCAACTACGAATTGAAATAATAATATAATTAATCTTTTTTTTTTTTTTTTTTTAATTATCATTTACTACAACATATACTTAATAAAATTTTGAAGATCACTACTTTTTTTTTGTTGTTATTATAATTAATTTCTTTTATTATTTCTTTTTTTTTTTTTTTTGTTATACTAACATATCATTTTGAGAGTTGTGGGATCAATATTCTAAAGGAAAAGGGGGCAATGTGTATTGATATTGAATAGAGTTAAACTTGGCGAACAAAAACTTAACGTATTTTTCTTATGCTTATCATTATATTTAATGTTATGTGTATTAAGGTAAATGTTTTCATTTTAGAATATTTCTTTGTTTATTTCAATTATGAAATTTATGGGAAATTATATTCCATACCCACTGCCTAGCACATATCATCCCATTTACAATGGAGAATGCACACAAATGAATCGATCAAGGAATTATCAAAACATTAAAAGTATGTTGTAAGAGTAAAAGTTAAAAAAGCTAATTAAACTTAGATGGGGCGTAGATGTGAATTGATGGTTCTGTGTACGGAATTCAAAAACTTGCCACATTAAGGTCTTCGAGTACAAATACAACTGCATACGATTGCATGGCGCCGATATAACAAGATCTGAAAATGTTGATGTTAATTAAATTCCCGACCAGGTTGTTCGCATCATTGCTTATTTTAAGCGTTTAACAGAAATTTTTAGCGGAATTATCATCAAAAAAATTGATGATGAACAAGTAACAATGGCCGACCATATTACATAGTTTAAATTCAAAAAGATAATTGCCATGGCGACGGCCAGGAACCATATATAACAGAGAGGAATAGTTAACAATTGAAATTAAACTACGTTTTTTGGAAACATTACAAATGGGGAAGGACGAGGAAATACGGATTGAACTTGAAATAATATCGAGAAATAATCATGAAAGAATCTTTTAATTATAGTATTTTCCAATTTTTAAAACAAAAAAAAAAAAAAATCCATGGAATTGACTCTTCGAATTCAAGGCCTATAATGCAAAGAAATGTTATCTCCTTGAAGAAACTTCCATTTGAATGAAACTACATATTACAGTCATAGATAGGCGAAAATTCTGTTAATAAAAATTAAAAAAATAACGTTGCATATATAATAATTTTAGTGACAAACAACTTTACAGCCGATATTTCAATCAAATATTCCGGATTATCATGAAAGACGCATGTGCCATTACAGCATCAATGTATTTTCTTCGCTTACAGTGTCGCTAATGTTTACAATGGAATATAATAACGACGTCTGCATGTTACTGAACTTGATCTCAAATGTGTGCAAGTCTATGGTAGATTGACTGAAATTTCAACTCACCCAGTTGGTGAGTAAAAAGTAAACGCGAGAAGGTCAAGGACAAAAGAAGTTCTTGCTTGGAAATTTCTATCGGTTATAACGGTTCCCATGGAAAAAAACTATCAAAATTTCACCGAAGACGTCCTTGGTGTTTTACTTTACGCGTATCGTACTATTTTGGATGACGGCAAGCAATTGTTTGCTCCCTACACAATAACTGATTGATTAATAGGGAAGTACCATATAGTATGTTGGCAAGATATCCGGCTCTCCCTCCCTCTTTCCCTTTCTAGTCTGGAAGGATGTAATTGCTAAATGAGCGTAAGATTATCTTTTCTTTCTTCAAGTCTTCACATTAAATCCAAGAACTAGCTAGTCGGTCCGTTTACGATTGCCAGAAAAGGTGCTTAATTAAGACAAATGGTAAATGTATTCCGTTTAGCATGACGAGTTGCACACGGGATTGCAAATATTTATTACTTTTTGATAAGAATTTATTGAAAATTTTTTTTCTCCTTTCGATATCGGCTAGTAATGGGTATAAAAACTTGTTCCTAGTATAAAAATTTTTAATTTCTTTTCACTTTTCTTATTTTGTTTATTTGATTAGGATTTGAATGTGTGTGTGTGATATTGCTTTTCGTTTAAAAATTTATTTATATTGTAATTTTATATTTCATTCGTTTAACAATTTTGTTGTTGTTATTCATTTCCTTCGTCTTCTTCTTTTCTTTTTTTTTTTGTTTTTGGCTAATTTTCCCTTTTTTTTAGGATTTGGAACATTTTTTAAAAAACTTTTCAATGTTTTTTTTCTGCCTTTTTTTGCGATTTATTATTTATTTATTTATTTATATTTTATTTTTTCATATTTTTTCTACGGTTGATTTAATGTGTATATGTTAAAACAATATTTTAATATAAGGCAAAAATGAATTAGGAAGTTTTATAGCTTGTAGTGTTTTATAATAATAATATACGTTCGTTATTTTTATATATAATAAAGTTTATTTGATTTATTATGTATATTGTTTTTATATTATATTTATATTTTTATACATAAAATATATAAAAGAAATGTTAAATTCTTTGGCGTCTTCCAAAAGATGGTGATTTTTTTTTTATTTTTTTTTATTTTTATTCTCATGAGATTCAAATAAATTTATCGAAAACAATAGTAATAAGACCATCATAAGATTTTATGCGGATTGAATCAAATTTTTCATATATATATGTATATATATATATATCCCAGCTAAGCTTAATAGGAGTTAAAATTTTTAAAAAACTTTTTATTGCATTTTTATGTATTTGAGTATATAAAAGCGTTTTGATAAAAAAATGTTCTCAAATATAAATTTAAATGATGTACACAAATTAAAATTGAACAGATGTACATCAATGTAGATAAAAGCATGATTCAAAATATATATATATTTTTTTGTTTTATTTTCATTTTTTATTTTTTACTATTTTTTTTTTAACCAATGGAATCAATATAGATAGGCAATCAGAAGTTAGAAGGGTTCATAATCAACCATCGAAAAAAGAAAAAAAAAAAAACAAAATATATATATATATACAAAAAAAAAAAAAAAAAAAAAAATATGTTCGTTAAAAAGTTTTACTACTTTGCTTATATATTTTCTCAATAAATTTAAATTTCGATAGGTTTTAGTAGGGGTCGTGTAAAAAGAGGAAAAATTTCGGTTCACTAGCATAGGAATATTTCACCAAAATGAATCAATAATAATTGCGAAATTTCGATCGAAATCAACTACGTATGACTTAGCGTCCCTTAGCCCTTGGTTAGAGTTAAACAGTGCATTAACCATAAGACTGAATCTTTCCCGACTATTATTTAAAAAAATTTTTTTTTTTTTTTTTTTTTTTTTTTTTTTTGAGAAAAAGTAGAAAACGACGGTCCCAACTTCAGTTCGATTTGGAACTTGCTATGCAGACAACACATTTGTAGGATATGATTATTGAACATTTACATTCCCGTTGCGCATTAAAAGCGGATCACAAGTATTTTCCTTTAAAATTAACTCGTTCTTAAGAAGCATCTAGACCGATTAGGTTAAACCATATAATAGTTTACGCAGAGGTTGATTAACAGGTTTATAGCCATACGATTGCTGACAAATACTTTCCTGGCAGCCGCGTATATACAGCTATCGCAATATAAATTGGTAACTGTTGTCATTACAGAAAATAAAAAAATTGAGGTCGCAAGAAGTACAACGCAAAGATGCTCTACCAGAACCCATACAGAACGAAAAACTAAAAGAAAAATAACCGGTAGTAACTGCATTCATTAGAAACGCCGCCGCTAGACAGGTTTGCTTTCTGAGCTCTCAATGGTCTCAGCCTAAGGAACAGAATGCTAATTAAAATTTATCTGACCTTTGCAGCCTAAACTAACAACGGATTGGAGTAGTAATGAATGAATGTAAACAAAATCGCCAAAACGTTAATTTTTTTTCATATAATCGCCTCTGGTCTCCCCAATACTTATCAAAATTTGAACAAATCGTTTGCAGTTTTACTTTAGCAAAAATTTTAAAATGTTAAGGCAAACATTAGTCCTTACTAGGCTCTCTCGTCATTTAAAAGCATTTAACAACAAAATTAAAAAAGAAGACACGACTTAGACAACTCTTTCAACCAAGGATAGAAGTAAGACCTTGTTTTAATCCAAATTTTCTCTTCTTCTTATGCTTACTGCACATTGCAACATATATGGGGGCATTTAGAGGGACGTGTTTACTGTTTAAATGTGAAACTATTGTCTCTCCTGAAAGTTATACGATAAACTTCAATCCATTTATTTATTGCGAATATTCTAGAACAAGAAACTGTTTGTCTACAGATCTTTGTTGTCTACTGATCTTAGGACAATATAATACCTAAACGATAGGGTTATCGGAAAAATAACCGTATTTGAAGTAAGCCTCAGCTTGAAGTTAATTGAATTTTGATTCGCGGATGACTTGATATCAACCCTGCGGATAATATTTTCATTGCCTTTTGCGATAAGAAATAAATTTTTTTGTTTCAAAATGTTTCAAAATTCATACACACATATCGTCCAAAAATGAATAAAAGCAATAGTGCAAAATAATGGTCAGCTCCGAGAGCGCGATTATTTCTATTTCAAATATACGTAGCATAAAGCATAAAGCGGCAAATAACCAGAGCGGGATGTTCAAATTGTTTTCGCAAAGTTCGCAAAGAAAATCGAAAGGTAACCATATTTCTAGTTCTTATGAGAGAGCGAAGCCAAAAAAAAAAAAAAAAAAAAAAAAACACTTCCCCCCATAGCGCAAAGGTATAAGGGGCGATGTTTAAAATTTAAAAAATTTTAAAAAATTTTTAATTTTTTTTTTTTGATTTTATTTATGAAATTTTTTTTTTTTTTTTTTATTATTTTCATGTATGTACGTGTGTATAGGTTTTATGTCTATTTAGTGCTAATTGTACATAATTTTTTATTTATTTTTTAGCTTATAGTTGGAATATAATATAACTAGTTGATATAAGCTATTTAACAGAAATGAATGTAAGAAAGATTTTCTACACATATATATATATATAAAATATATGGAAAAAAGAAAAACCCAAAAAAAAAAAAGAAAATTTTACAAAAAAAAAAAAAAAAAAAAAAAAAATGAATAGTATATTTTACTTTACCGACTACGTTTGTATATAATAATGCTGCTTAGAGACTTGCCTCATAGGATGGCGGCATTGGTGTTGGTGTTTGTTTATCTGAAGGCGTTGTAGCAGGGTTATTTAGTTGTTTTCGTAGATTCTCTTGATAATTGCGTATATTAACTTTATCGAACTATGTTACCGTGCCGCCAGGAGGCGCTACTTGACTGGGCGATAAATGTTGAGTGACATTCTAATCATATTTAAAAAAAAAAAAAAATATATATATATATATACATATATATTAGTTTATTTTTCCTCTATCCCTTCATTCTTATTGTATACTTGCCGTTGCATATCCCGGTCTAGCCCATGTGTAAATGAAGCCATCCTGACACGCTGTCAGGAAACAATCTTCACGAAATATTAAAGCACTTAAACGTTCGTGGGCAATTTTTTTACATACTAAGGGCTCCAATATGGGACACTCGTCAAAGCGTGGACATGCAGGTGTACCTATCAATTTCAGTGGATCATAAGTGGTTATCGCAGGCGCGACAAACGCTGCTGTTGATATTGCATTTGAAGAAGGTGAGGCCGCTGTTGCTAATCCGGCGATTAAAGAGTAATTTGGTTGACTTTTACCCAATTTCAATGAGCCACCAAAGCCATGTGTAACTCCTCCTGTAGTTGTTGTCGAATTTGTATTTGTCTCGTTTTGGGTGGCATTTGCAAACGACTGATGATTGTTACTGCTTTCGGCGTTATTGTTATGATGATTGTATGACTTAAGTAAACTTAAAGTCTTACGATTATGACGCGTTTGAGTGGAAGAGGCATTTACGTTACCATCGGCATTCAGCGCTGCGTTCCTCTTATCAGAATTATTTAGGAAACTAAAATTACTTAGCCTTTGCGTTAGCGAATTAAAGGCGGACATGCCACCACTTGCCGTTGTGTCAGAAGATTTGCTAGAGCTACTGTTCGACGCTTTGCTGTTGTAACCCGAACTGGAGAATGTCGTAGAATTGCTTTTCGCATGATTGCCAATCAAATTACCGTCGACAGAATCCGATTTGGTCGTACTTATACAATTAGGAAACTTTATAGAATTACCTCCTAAGCAATGAGATTTATGTATTTTATTGGACGCTGGAACTGTTCCTTCATCTGGCGGTGTATTGGCATTCGATGACTGTGACGATATTGTGCAATTCGCTGTAGAGAATTTACTGGAACTGCTGTTACTGTTCTGTTCGCCACTACTGGTAGTGGTCATTATGAGTGCTTGATTGGTGTCTTTATTGGCGGTAGGACTGTTACTGCGCTGGGAAGCGGGAAAGCTACCTTTTGTGTTTCCTATAGCTATCGGTCGAATTACTTTTATACCATCGTTATCAATACAGCCGTTCATAAAGCTACTATCATTCAAATTGGAACTATTCACCCTTTGCCTTAATTGTACTGGATGCCGTAGTACATCTTCGGTGATGTCCCATAGGCAAATCTGAGTATCCTGACTTACCGATCCCAAACGATATATAATTGCTAGTTTATCGGGTGCCAGTGAACTAGCATCCGAACGAAATGATGTTGAGGGCGGTCGTTGTCTTGTATGCACAGGTGTTGAATTTTTATCAATAGCTACTCCCGGACATGTTCCGTACATATCGAAGCCATTTCCTGTCGCAGAATCACATACCGCAAATCTACCGTAGTCAGTCATTTGGTTTTCATCATCAGAGAAATCGCCACCGTCCCATGATGTATACGATGTTGTATATGGATCGAAAGCGACTACCGATACCCATGAGCGATGACCTTGACCACGTGCCACAACACGTCGCTCATGAAATGACCACACTGTTACTAAATCATCCTCCCCACCCACCACAATATATTTGCCATCGGGCGACCAACAAACGCACAAGAAACCCCCAAAATAGGAACGTGCTATACCCAACAATTCCATGGTATCATAATGAAACACACGCAGGAATCCATCTTGTGATACAATAGCCAAATGCGAACCACACGGTGAAAAACAAAATTCATTTATACAACAATTCTCAGTGCTAAATACCCATTTGTACATAGGATTACGACTCGATTTTGATTTACACGTTAATATCGAATAGCCATCGCCCATTTTATAGGTTTGATAATTGGGAGCGGCCGCAGTACAGGGTAAATCTTCATTGTACAAATACAGATGTCCCGAGGCATGAGAGGCCAAAAAAAGATTAGGCGAATTCGGCAGCCATTTTAAACAGGTCACTTTGGTTTTATCAATAAGTCGCTGCATAGAAGAAAATGAAGATGGCGATCACGATTAAGTAAATATAAAAATCAAACAATACTATATATATATATATATATATATTATAAATATATATATATTATATATATATATATATATACCTCTTCATTGTAAAGTTTTCGTAATTCCCGAGGACCTGGTTGTGGTGATACCAACTGTATTTGTCCGGTGGTAAAACCCACTAATAAAGGTGCACCCGTTGGTGATGCGGTGGTAGAATTAAAATCATGACAACTTGGATTGGTGCCTTTATAGAATTTTTTATCAATTGGTTTACTTAATTCCGCGCCCTAAAAAAGTGTTTAGATTACAACAAACAAATGATTAGAAAATGGAAAGTTTTAAATGCAAAGCATAATATGCTCTTGTAATTTACACATACTACCTACACATACTGCAATTCTTCCAATCTTCCCTTACTTTCCTAATCATATCAGTTTACAATAAACAACTTATACTATGTAATAATAACGACAACGTTTATTGCAATTATTATTGCATACGAGTTCATTCATTTATATATATATTTTGCAATATATTCTCTCCATATAAAATGAATTATTTACTAGAATTTGCAAAAAATAAACTGTCGTAACTTTTGACAGACGTTAGCAAATTTTAAAAAAACTTTTCATTTTGGTAAAAAAGAAAAAAACAAACAACAAAAAACATATTGATGATTTTTTTATTACGTCTTATTTATACGGTGGGCCATCTGTTGGCCCCATTTTTTTAATTAAATGTAAAATGTACACATGTACCCCCATAGACAACTACATATTCGACAATTGCTGTAAAGACTTTTTTTTTTTATGGCTTTACGCTTAAAGGATTTCATTCTTGACAGTGTATTGTTTATGTAGTGTTGCAATAAAGAAAGTCTTTCTTCCAATGGGAAATTCTAAAGGAAATTAAAAATTGTTGTTTAATTGAACGTTATTTGATGGCTAAAATTCTTATCGGGTCAGAATGACTTGACTTTTCGAGACAAATTTCAAATTTATTATACTAAAATTCTTTAAATAAAAAAAGAAAAAACTCTTTAGTTTAAACTAAATTATATAAGTTAAACTTTCAAAGGATTCCACTTCTAATACGATAAACGAACGTGTTGTAAACGGGTGCAAATCATAGGTCGAAGGAGACCATAGAAAGCGTGGGGAAGGCAAAGAATGGCTTAGGGCTTATGATCTACCTAATCGCTAAGCAGTCTCGTCTGTTCCTTCGTTCTTCTAACGGTAAAGACATTCACCAACAAAAGTGTGGTAGACGTGGCGTCTTCCATTAAGTAATAAAGCTATTTTTAATAGGCATGAATAGTTATGATGTAGTGGCGCCGCCATGTCTTTTGGATCGAGATTGCAACCTTGCACAGCACAATTCATTTGTTATAAATAATTTCCTTTCCTTTCCATATGTTATTACTTAGCGTTTCAAGATTTCAACCAAGTTAACAAATCACACTATTTTGGACTTAATTTGCGGAAGTATTTTGTGAATTTCAGAAAGCTTAAGACCCACGGCAGGCCTGCTCGTATTAGGTTGTAGAATTTAACAAGATTTTAAATCTACACCATATTGGTTAGCCCTGTGATGCTTATTCCTTACCACATCAAGCCGCTGCACCTTCAATAGTGAATCAAAGCTCAGTGGACCTAAAGCTTTCTCTCTTGTTTTGTCTTTGTTTTAGGGCAAAAAATTCAGGTGAATATCGGATTAAAGGTGACGAGCTTTAACTGATTTTGTATTCCTTATAGGCAGTGCTTTATCTACCAATGGTCAAGAAATATTATTTAGATGTACAGAGCAAAATGCTAAATCCATTTTTGCTTTTCGGAAAGCTTTGCTTTCACTGCGGTATCAAAGCTATTAAGTTGAGTGTTACGGATTTATCCTTGCACTGTTTATGTGGGCCGATCAAAATTGATGCAACAAAAGTTCTTGTTTGTCTTCTAAGGCATTGCAACGAGCAACGAGCATAATCTGTGATCTATGTGTGTGATGAGGAAGTGAATGTTAGACGTGAAGCGGTGTAGGGTATCTGACCCGGCTACAACATTTTTCATTATCTCTAGCAGGGAAAATGCTGGCAGTAGATTTTCAGATTGTTACAAATGAAATAAACGAATCAGTGAAACTTCCGTTTTTTTCTTCTAAATATTCCCAGATTTATTTCATTTCTCTTCTTACATTCTCAAATAGATTTTGTTTTCTTTTCAAATTAAATAACAATGAAGCAGAGCGGATTGTTATTTACATTTCGCTGTTCGCTATTTGCTATGAAGTGTCATAGATTTAATTTTTACAAGCTAAGGCACATGCCCGAAAAAGAAATAAATGCATGAATGGGTAGATAGTAGGAAAGGACGTAAGTAAGATATTGTATATACTTTGTAACAGTGTATCTAAGAGTTTTAAGTAAAAAATAAATGCGATAACACTTTTGGTTACACATTAAATTTGCTCGCCAACAGATATGTGCTTGAACGCAGATAAGTTTTGCAAATTGACGTAGCCAGTCACAAGATAACCAAACAAGCAGACCTAGTCAGCTTGAAATATTCAAATAGCTAAACCAATATACAATTAAGCAAAAAAAAAAAAAGAAAAAAAGAAAAAAAAAAAGTCTGTTCGAATCTTTGCATTTATATGTGTGTGTAAGCATTCATGCATGCACGCCTCCCTCGGGCTACCGCTTGAGTTTTTTTTTTTTTCTGCTACTTTACGTACGCAACACATTTGTGCATACGGCGACTCATGTTACAACAGTCAACAATAATAACAATAGCAACAACAATAAACAAATAATAATAAATGTACATATATATATATATATTATATGTATAAATAAATAAATAAATAAATAAATGTAATGACAACAGAAAAGCTGCAACATATTGCTGTTGATTATATAAGCCGGGCAAACAACAACAACAGAACTAGCTTACAAAAGCATTTTATTGTTTGTCATATATATATATATATATATATAGCTGTTGCCTATTACTTCTATATGTATAAATATACAAAACAAAATATTATATCAAATCGAATCTCAAAACTGATTTTGAAATGTGAGTGGCGTTTAGATTTTTTTTTTTAATTTTTTTATTTTTATTTTCTTATTTCGTCTTTCTTCTTATCTATGAGATTTGTTTGTTGTTTTCCTCTTATAGGGAATAAAAATATGTTGTTCTAGCGCTTATACTTATAGTAGTATGCTTTTAATGTTTTTATTATTATTATTATTATTGCTATTATTGTTGTTGTTGTTGCAGTGGGCTGTTTTCAATTAAAAATAATATCAATTTAGCTTTCGTTGGAATTTTACTGTCTTTTTTTTCAAGAATGTTTATAATTTATTGTCAGAAGATATTATATATACAAACACAGACACAGATACACACACAGGCACACGCACAAGTTTGTATATTTTAAAAAAATTAAAAATTTAGGAATATTAAGAGCTTATTTTGGAATAAGGCCGGTAATGAATGTCTACGGCGCAGCTAATCTCGATAAAATCCGGAGGTCTCTAATGGCATGAAATAGTTCCCACTTTGGGAACTTTTGTATAATGAACGGATAAAACGAACTTGAGATGATTCGATGCATATGCATTTATCTGTAAGGCGTTTATCGCGCCCTATAAGTAGTCTGGAATAGGTTAATGATACAAGACTAAAAATAGCATTCATTTAGTCGCAAATATCAACGAGTGCATCAGGTGTTTGCAAAAATTTTGATCAACGACTTCTGCAGGTAAAAATAATAAAGAAATGGGCAATACTAGTGTAGCTGGATAGTGTTGCTTCATCATATCCCCATTGTCGACTTTGGTTCCAACGGTTTAAAAGTGGCGAGAAGAAATGTTCAAAAGCACTATTTTTCGGCCACTCGCTGCAAGACTTGTCCAGGATATACGAAACATGGCGCCTCCTAATTACCATTTGTCTGGATAGGAGCAGCATAACTCAGCTGGCACGCGAGTCCGCAAACTTAAAGAAGTACGAAAATGGACCGTTAGACCGAACGCTACCAAATCAATATAAATTTTTTCGGCATAATATCGCCATGTTACCAAAAATACAGTAAGACGTTGTAGAAAGTGATGGAAACAATTTTGATTAATATATAGCGAAGTGAAGTGTGACCAAAACTTGTGCAAATCCCTAATATATTAAGATTGTAAAGTGATTGATAGATAGCCTTAGTTAGGCACTTCTTCAGAATGGACATTTTTTTAAACCTTATATGGGATATACTTCTCGGCTTTTAAATCTTCCTTTACTTAAGGCATAAAGTAATTATCTGAAATGATCACATTGTAGAAGGTTAATAATTTTTAGACTATGTGAAATGTATTTTTATTTTTAATCGCTTTTATGTTCCTTTACTTGATGCATTGAAAAACAAAACAAAATAAAAGAGAGAAAAAAAAAAAACTAAAGAAAAACAGCAGGGAAAAAGAAGAAAAAGAGAATCGAACGACATCTCGAGAAGTATTCATAATCTCTAGCTTATCTCATCATTATTTTAATGTTTGGCAATGAAAATTAAAAAATGTCTTTGCTTTTCGTATGTGTTCCTGCTACTTACCTTTTTGACACCTCTGAAGGCGTAAACGTACAATTCTCGCCCAAAATTAAAACATATTCGATCACCACCATATATTTGACTTGCAGGTAAACCGCTTTGATCGATACCATTGCCGGAACCGTTCATTATAGTGTGCATGGACATGCCAGCACCAAGACGAGCATCCATTGAGGCCGGTACAACATAAGCGGATGACGTTGAATTAATATCGTAACCATCGCCCGCAGCACCGCTACCATTAGTGCCATTGATTAGAGGTCTTTGTGTTGTTGAACTATTATTGCCGTTACCGCTACCGCTACCGTTGCCATTGGCCCCGTTTACATTATTGCTTAAGGCTGGATTCGGTAACGTAACAATTGAAACACGCACTTGCGGAGAACTTTGGTTATTAGTGTAGCCGACACGATTTGGACGTGAATATTCCGGCAGTGTTAGCAAACGATAGGTGCCCTCGCGCGTGACAAATTGTGTTTTCAGGTCATCCTTGACATTGGGATCGAGTTGCGTTGCCATTACGGCAACTAATACTTGAAATATTTCGTTGTTCTCGTTGTTATTGCTCTTATTTTTAAAATCGTTTTTTTTTTCTGTGTGTATGTGTATAAGTTTCGAATTTTTCCTTTGCAGACCAGTTAAATGGTTTTTTTTTCGCTTTTTTCTTGCCGTAGTTTTCTTTTTCTATTTTTGCAATGATATTAATTACAACTTAATTTGATATATATATATAAATATATATATATATATATATATATATATATGTACATATTGGTAAACATTTATTTCGTTTCAAATTGCTTAGACACACGAACGCACATCTATGTAAAAACTCGGACACCTCACATATCCACACATAACGAACGTACATACTATTTCAATTGCCGCAGGAATCTCAGCGAAGTGGGTGTGGAGCTGCTCTTTATCATAGGGATTTCCACATACAACTGCTTATTGGATTATTGAAATATGTTGTCAAGCGTATCTCCTTTGGCAAACTTTTTCGCACCTTGTTTTAAGCTATTTTTTTTACACTTATAATAATAATAATAATATTTCAATTTTTTTTGCTGTTTTACATTTTCGCAAATTCTATTTGAGAATTGAATTGGTTGACATACATCCGTACACAATTGACACACAGCCACACAACATACAGGCACGCATTGGTCACACAATTTGTTTGGTTTGCGTTTTGCTAGACAATCCGGTTTCTTTCCTTTTTTTTCATTTATTATACACTACCGCAAACGATCTAATATCAATGCCTTCAATTATTTAATTTGAATTTGTTTTATTTTTCGTTTTTAAAATAATTCGTGCATTGAAATTTTCCTTTTCCTGTTTTCCATAAAAATTTCCTATCGCTCGTTTTTCTCTTAGATTCTATTTTTTGTCTATTTTCAATATTGTTTTGCTTTGACGTTTACAAAAGTCATACACTATTGCAATTTTTGCTTTAACCGTACAGAGATCGTATATTTCATTGAGTGAAAGCGAACTTTATGAAATGAAATGTTTCATTCTACATCGTTTCAATTCTGCACGTTCTGTTACTTTTAAACAACAGAAACGCTTTATTTTTATGTATTTAGAGTTTTTGTTGATTATTTTAACAATTTCAAGCAAATGTTATGGGCCCAACTGATTGAAAATGATTTTTTTTTTTTGTATAATTTACAAAATATCTAAATAAGTAATAAGTGAACTTTGAAACAAGATGGGAAAAATAAAAGATTATTGTCGTTAAAGGAGAAAATATAACAATATTAATATAATGTTTACATAAATAGGAAGATATTATATTAATTTAGAAAATTCATTAAAAAAAAGAAGATCCGGGATAGGGTATCTTTTAAATCTTCAAATTTCATTCGAGTTATTGCCAAAGGATTTACGTGATTACTCAGTCTGACAAGATATTTTGAGAAAATACTTTGAATTAATTTTTGAAGAATGGAAATCCCAAATCGTCATGAATGGTTTTATCGCCAACGAACCATTAACAATAAGGTGGAGGATTGATTTTTGGAGCATATCAATTAACTGTTCCCCACAATTGTATACCGTAAGTTCAAATAAATGAAATTTATTTTGCAACAGTTTATTAAAAAATGTTATTCCATTTCTGCGTGGTTTGTGTCTAAAGTAATTCTTGGCTTGTGTCTACAATTATACAACTATACACCTATATGTATATATGGCAACGTTGAGAAATTAAATTTATGCAAAATCGTCACTTCAACTGGCAAGAAGACGTATGTAAGCAATCAAATACGAGATAAGAACAAAACAACCACAACAAAAACAATTGGTTGATTCAATTAGTAGGTTGGTGGTAGGTTGTATAACATAAACTAAAGCCATGGACCAGAAATTGGGCTATTTTAAGAAAATAGCAACAAATAAACCGTTTTTGTTAAAGGGATATCAATTAAATATCTCTTTAACTAAAAAGCAGCGATGGCTACGGGATTGTATTGAAAATGTATGCGCAGAAATTTGTTGTTAATAAAAATCATTGGTTAAACAATACAAGAAAAGCTTGACTACTTTTTGATATGTTCTATTAATATGGGCGTACACATTGATCTTTCAATATATTATATATTTTTGATCAGATTTAGTAGCGAAAGCGATTTAGACATATCCACCCACGTTCCTGTTTCTTTTCTTCTTGAAATTGTGTTACATTCTCAAAATTATCTGAAAAAAAAAATTAATTTCAAATTTTTTTTTTGTCGTGACGTCAGATTTTTTTAATCAATTGTTAATTGCGAGTAGATAAACCTAGTTAACCTCTGAGAAAAATGCATCAAAGTGCCATAGATACAAATGACGATCGCTAACAGCGGTAAGTGCTTTTTACTTTGTTATATACATTAAGTATTGGATCAGTAATATTTTTATTTTAGAATTATGCAAATTGTATACAGAATATCTTTTACTTCTCGCTAGAGCAAGACAACATCGGAACCTTGTTTAACATATCCAATTTCTATACTAACTTAGAATGAAGGATATAAAAATTGTTTGATGCAATAAGACGAACCAATCTGGTTTGAAATATTTTAAGACAAAAAATTTTTTAAAATTCATTTGGTTATCTTCATGTTGATTATTATTAAGGAAAGCAAGTGAGAACATTATAGATAAGCAAAGGCAGCCATTAAATACCCTTCAACCATTTCGCCTAGTACCGCTATTCATTCAATATTGTACATTATTTTCATGCCGTGGCATACTTTCCTTGAAATCTCGCATACTGGAGGATTCCCATAGTATCATATAAAAAACTGCTAATTGCTGCGCTATTTTGCCCGATGGACCGATTTTTGTCACAAAATATTAAAAATTAAATCTTTTTTTCCTCTTGATTTTTATGTCAGTTTACTAAATTTTTTCAAAATATCTTAAAAATTGGGACCTATAGCCTGAATACCAATTTACACAGGCAAACGAGTCAGACGGACAGATGGATGGTCAGTTTTACATCGATTCTGAATAAATTTGTGAATCGGAATAAAAGATAGATGTATCTTATGCCCTTCTATGTGTTAAATACTTTCGCACAAACTTAATATACTGTGTGCAACAAGTGGTGTAGGGTATAATTACCATAAAAATATATTCAAATTAAGCGAATCAACATTAACATAATTCACTCTATTCTTCTCCCTATTGTTATCATTTCCTTGACTAAAAGTGAAATATTAACTTTTGAGATGAGTCGTTGTTAAGATAGTGACAAGTTGCGGTAAGATTTGCTCTTGACATTGCGAAAACACCATAATCAAGCAGAGTTCAACTTTTCTTTTGTTTATGAAAATGAATTTTTGCAAAAGAAAAATCATGATCATGTACCCTACGTTGTTTGCAAACACTACTACTACTACTAATTGGACGCAAGCGAAACCCTTCTATCTGTTTGCAGATGGGCTTTGTGTAACACGCAAAAGTGAAAGAATATAAAATAACTGTAGGCGAAAGCTGTCGAACGGTTTTTTTATGATTTTCGAAGTGAATCTATGTGAGGAGAGTGAGAAGGACACAGGGTCGTACGTCAGTATATTGAAATTTGCGTCGCTGCTTAACATGCTAAACCTGTGCTTTATCTTCGATAGATCAGATGGATGTAATGTTTTATGAGTTACTGAACCTATCATTAAACTCAGAAGAGCCACAATATCCCAAAAGACATGGTATAAGGTGAGATGACATGAGATAATAGCGAATGAGTCAATTTTATGATATTCTGACGAAATTTTGTGCACCGACATGCTTCGGCTGGAAGACGAATTTAATGATTAACTAAAGTTTTCATATTTTGTTATATGATTGTGGTACCACTTGTCTTGTAAAACTTCAATATGCATATGCGCCGTTAATTTTCCGAATCAATTGGCTGCGTTTGTAACACTTTAGCTTTAATATCTGAACAGCTTGTTCTCGATGGAGCTGGATATTTATTATACGCATCACCAAAGGATGAGAGATGTATTCACAAAGCGTACATGTTCTTGAACAGTATCAAATTCTAAATCGATTTAAGCATGTCCGTCTGCCCGTTTGTGTTTGTCTAACGTAAACATTCTCCTGGCGAACTCATGCGAAGGACACACGCATACGTAAATTGAGGACACCTCTGTTTTTCAAAAGGAATAAAAAATTGGGTTTTTGGGCATTACTTCCGGTAGATAAACGCCCAAAAATTTGAATGCATATTTCCAGGGTGATGCTCTAGGATCTGTAGAAAATTAGAAAAAATTAACCACGCCTAACCACGCCTGTTATAGTGGTATCAAAATTTAATTTTTTTTCAATACCTTCATAACCCCCATAAAGTACATAAAATTCTCGGCCAATATCAAATAATGGAATGCATGTCTGTCTGTTCGTCTGCTCGACTGTGTAGTAACTGTGGTAAAGATTCTCAAAAATGAAGATATCGCCTACAAATTTCCAAAGGAGTTTGCAAGTGACTTAAACTTTACCAAGTGCACGCCTACAACGCGCAAACGCCTTTAAGAAATAAACTTTTATTTTGGAAATATACAAAAATCAGCCGCACCCATTAGCACGCAAATGTATCTTCTGCATGTAGCGATGGTGGATATAAAAGATTCGATCACGACTAAATATAATTTTCTTACTTATTTTGTTACATGTTTTTGAAGGAAGATTGCGATCTAAAACATTCATTATATCACTAAAAATTTAGTTCCCCTTCACTCACTTGAATTTGAATAAATATTTAATCAAACTATGATTTTTTGCAACTTTTTGAATGAAAGTTAAGTTAGTGACTGATTGATTTGGAATTTATGCTGTGTTTACTGTGAAGAATGTTGAAGTTGTCAACAACGATATATTTTTTTACTATAGATCTCGTCATCTACGTGTCAAGTTGCAAAGTTTCTTAACGACGTGCTATCAAAAAGAAAAAAAAAAAAAAACAAAAAAATGATAAAAATTAAATTAGATTTTTGTTGTTGTTGTTGTTGGTTTTTTTATTTTCATTCATCATATTGATGTACTTCCTTGAAAATGCAAAGAAATTGTAATAACAATAACAGTTACAGACTATGGATTATTTGATGGCTTTCACAACGCTTACCATTATATCGAAATGGCTTTTTTGATCTATATATACTTATATATACCTATACATATATATATATATATATATTTGTTCGTAAACTTAAATAAAATAATTCGATTTATTGTTTAAAATCTTTATAAAGTTTACAACAAGTCTAATGAAATGATAAGCGAATGTGTGTCCGTATGTGACTTTAGCCACTTGGCTATTGTCATGTTATTGAGGTCATGCAACAAGAATGTAAAAACTCAACTATCTAGGGACATCTTACATACATCTTTGCATACATATAAACTACTTGATGCTTTAACATTTTGCAAGTAAACAGAATAGAGAAACGAAAAAAAAAAAACCAAAACAAAAACAAAAAGAAAAAAAAAACAAAGCAAAAACAAACACAAACAAAAAAAAAAAAAAAAGACAAGAAAACGGTCGAGTTGAAAAGAATTCTCTTAAGATTCCAAAAAAAAAAAAAAAAAAAAAAAAAAAAAAACTTTTTAAATAGTTGAGATTTAATACCAATGTGTGTATATGAGCAAAATTTTCAATTCCCTCAACTCTTCATTTTGTAAAGCGAACGAACGTATTCTCCCATAATCTACTTTTCCTATATATGTGCGCATGCATATAAGTTTGTTGGATCCAAAGCAATTTCATT